CCCCCCCCCCCCCCCCCCACAACGTAGGGAATGCAGTGATTGCCGGTTCGGAGAGGAGGGAGGCGGAGGCGATTCCTACGAGCTGGCGAAGGAGAGCGTGGAGGGTTCAAGATTTAGGTTGAATGTTTAGGGTTCATGCTCGTCGGTTTTGGAGGCCGGCAGCTACAACCTCACAAAGTCTCTCCCCATGCCCTAAACCCTAAACCCCTTTCATTGAGGCCTTCAGGGTTCGAGCCCTTATCCGAGGCCAAGAACCTCCTTTCTCATACTCTCGCGACCGTTCCTCTTGCGAGGATTCTCTAATTGCTGATTCCGCTTCTTGAAGAAATGGTGAGCCGGTGAGGGTTTAGGGTTTAGGGAGCCCTTCAAGATTATAGAACTCAAGTTGCGCCACCCACCCTGATTCCCAAGCTGCAGAGACCTGGCGACCGTTGTCCAACGTGAACAGTTATTCTTCTCCGGAAGCCCCAAGCCCCGAAGCAAAAGCCGAGCTCACCCTCGGAGCCCGATCTGTCAATCGAGGTCTTTCTGTCATGCTGTAGACTGAACCAGAAAAAAGGGCCTTGACAACATGCACGCCTGAGCCCCAGAACCCGAGCCCTGACCCGACACCCTAAACCCCGAACCCTNNCTAAACCCTAAACCCCCCCAAACAAAAAACTTTAACCCTCAAATGGGCGCTTCGAACAAGCTCCCAGGAGCTGTCCTACGAGCCCAAGCCCGGCAGCCGCCGAGTTAAGCGGACCTTTGGCCTCGGATAATGAGCAAGAGTTTAGGGTTTTTAGGGTTTTTAGGGCTTTTGGGGTTTTTAGGGTTTTTAGGGTTTTTTTAGGGTTTTTAGGGTTTTTTTAAGGGGTTTTTAGGTTTTTAGGGTTTATGGCTCAGCAGAACCGATCGAGCAGTCTCTAGGCGAGCTCATTGTTTGATTCCTAGAAATACTACTCACCCACCCAGGAAGCCTCAACATCGAGAAACCAGATGTTTTCATTAATCCTAGATCTTAGATCCCAAACCCTAAAATCCTACATCCTAAGCTCTACAGCTGAAACCTGAACCCTAGACGGCCGGCTCCAATTCGTGAAGGGTTGGGGGGTCCAACTCTTGTCAAGAGGACGTCTGGGAGCCGCCCGAATGGGGGGCATCCCACGAAAGCCCACCAAAATGGCAGATTTTGCAAGGGCCGCTCCTCTTCCGGAAGACAAGCCCAAGGCTTCTTGAAGTTCCAGATTTTCGGCCACTGTTGCCGGCTGCTCCAACTCGTGAAGGGTTGGGAGTTGCAACCCTTGTCGAGAGCACGTGCCAGCAGAACGCTTAGGGTATCATCTTTTTACCCACTATGTGGGAGGTGCCTGAGAGCCCGGCAAGCATGGTGCCAGTCGCTTATAGCTTTACATGGGCTCTGCGTACGCGTTTTCTGCCGCTCGCGAAGCTCGGGCCGCTTCGGGCTCCGCGGTGGCGGTTGTTGAGCCCTCAGCGAAGACTTTACTTTAGGCTTTAGGTTCAGGGTTCAGGGTTTAGGGATTAGGATCCATATATACAGCAGTGTGGATGAAGATGCGAATGTAATTAAACACATACGAAATTATTACCGATGGATAGACAATGAAGCAAGTAAAAAGACAAGAGTATATATATATATACACACACACACAGAAAGTGCATATACAGAACAAAGTAGTTGTGTAGTATTGGTATTTATCTATATATATATATAGAGATGTATATACTTGCATATATATATATATATGAATGCATGCATGTATGCATGACTGAATGAATGATTGGTTGATTGATTGGTTGATTGATTTATGCAGTGAGTGGGTGAATGAAAGAATGATTGAATGAATCAATGAATGAATGGACGAAGGAAGGAATGAATGAATGACTGTATGAAAAATGAGCTCTTTTGGTAAAATTTAATTAGCGATGAGTTAATTGAACAATTCGGCAAATAATTCGCTAGTTCATTCACTCATGAGCTGATTCATTAATGAAGATGCAAAGCTTGCTTCGGGTTCTTGGTGTCAAACACTCAGAGTTGCAATAAATTTTGATGGGTTTGAGCAAGATCCCCTGCCGAGGCAGGGCGACAAGCCAGCGGACAACAACCGCTCGGGGGAGAAAACGCAGCATCCAGACAGTTCGGCATTACTTTTTCATTTCCTTTTTTGGCGCTGCTGGGGCTTCGCAAGACCTCCCCCGTCCAATCTCTTGAAGACCAAGCTGAAACTCACTTCCCCAGCTGCCAACACGGACTTGGACCCTGTTGAAGAATCGGCTGACCGGCAATGTTCTTCGACAGGCACAAGCCACCGTCGCACAAACCGCCGGAGACCAAAGTGCAACAGTTTGTGCACTCCTGGGGCTTCGAAGCCTTCTTTGCTGTCGTGATCGTTCCTTGGGATGCTTTCAGTTGAGGGTGCGGGCGTCGGCAGCTTGCAGAATCGCAGACATCATGAACTGATCGTCGTTGGTTTTAAGGAACGCTCGGCCTTCAAGGCTTAGATGGGGGTTTCCGAAAATAGGGGGTACCTTATTTGGGGGTCCTTATAATAAGGATCCCATTATTTGGGGTACTATCTTAGGGTCCCCTATTTTCGGAAACCGCCAGATGTGCATGGTAGTTGCCGCGATTGCAGCACAAAATCCACCGGCTTTTGCTCGGTAGAAGTTCGGGGATGCCGTCTGGGTGTCATGTGAGGCAAAGCCGCAAAGAGAAATCACCGAACTGGAGCTAGGCTGTTGGGTCCCTGCAATTTTGGACCCAGGTTTCCAACACCGTGGTGTTGGGTGTGCAGACGGCCTGGATGGCTGAACACTTTGTCCATGGGGTGCCCCCCGTCTTCCTGGTGCTGCAGGCACCAATGCTTTGAGCAGGGCTTTCAGTCTAAACGGCACCTTCAGATGCCCGCCAGAAGATGTTCTTCAGTGCTCTGGCTCGCTTCTTGTCGGCCTCAGGGTTGCCGCAGCCTCTCAGGTTGCATCCCCCTGGACGTCTTGGGGTGATCATGGAACTTTCTAGCGGTGAAGTCCACGCGTAAGGGGGGTTGTTCTATGTATAATCTTTGGCTCGATACCTCAACTTTGAAGAGAACGCACAGAGCACGCGGACACCCAGAGCAAGGAGACACTCAGAGTTGGCTATCAGGTGGCCTATGCGACCCTCTTCTTTGTGGAGGTGGTGCTCCGGATCTGTGCCGATGGAATTTCCAGCTTTTTTTGCTCGCGACCGTGGCTTTGGAATCTGCCGCTGGGAATGGAATACAGACCCACGGCCTCAGAGGGAGTTGAACCATTCTGAGCGAGAGAGAGGTACCAGCACCCGAGCACTCAAGTCTCTCAGGTTGGATATCTTCGTAGTGGTGAGCTCCGTGTTCGAGCTCGTCTACTCTGCGATTGCAGGCTTTCAGACTAATCCAGCTGCTCGGCTGGCCCTTCGCGTCTGCTCGCTTGACTCAGCGTTTCTGGTCAGGCAGTGATTTGGGCCATATCATACTACATCATACTAGATTATACTATATTATACTGGATTATGCTATATTCTACTGTATTAATATTATACTATATTATACCATATTATACTATAGTATACTATATTATATCTTGTAGAAAATTAGATTGTAGCATTATCTTATTTTATCTTATAACCCCCCAAAAAAGAGCATTCCAAGCGGCTCAGGCCTCGACCAGTGCTCTCCGGCTGGTGCGGATCATGAGCCTTGCCTGACCAGCAGTAGTACACAATTAGTATCGTATGATTATAGTAGTAATATAGTAGTATTATAGTAGTATTATAGTGGTATTATAGTAGTATTGTAGTTGTATTATAGTGTTATTATAGTAGAAATATAGTACACATGTTCTTTACGGGCCTAGATCCAAGTAGCCATGAAACAGAGTGTAGCGTTCGACTAAGTGTTCCTAGACACACTAGCAGCGTTCCAGCGCATGGTATGCAAGTAGGTCAACGTGCATGCGTGTGTGTATTGTGTGTAGCGTGTGTAATATGTATAACATGTGTAATGTCTGTAACGTGCGCAGTGCCCGTAATGCGTGTATATTGTGTGCATGTATGTAGTTAGGTTAGGTAGGTGGGTGGGTGGTGGGTAGGTATGTTGGTATGTAAGTATGCAGGCATGTAGGCATGTATGTATGTGTGCACCCGCGTACCATGCATGTATGTATGTATACCTACCGTTCACATGCCTGCATGCACACACATGTATATATAGACGTATGTATGTATGTATGTATGTATGTATGTATGTATGTATATATATATCTGTGTATATATAGGTATATGTGTATATTGATGTACATATTCACATAAGCGCAGACATGCATGTACATATGCATGTTCAAAGTCTTCTTTACATACAGATGCAGTGACATACACACACACACACGCACACACACTGGTTCATATGCAGAAAGGCTGGTAGACGCATGGATATAGCTTTGAGCTGGGTGCAGTGCTCGTACTTCCTGTGAGTCGCTTTCGCGAGGTTCGATTATGTGTGTACTGCGCAGACGTGATTAAATAGCCGCATAGATAACATGATGGCTGTTGACCCACTAGAACATGCCTCTCTATTGCTCTCTGACGGCTTGCCCCTCTCTTCTAACAACAACATCTCATCTAAGGAAGATTGCGCGCCTTGTGCGGATTGTCCGTGTGGCCGCGGTCTTGCGCTTCATCCGAGCCCTGCGTGGCCCATCTGACCTTCAAGCCGCAGCACTAGACTAACTAATGAATGCTATTGTCGCTACCGCTTGTAGCTATTGATGCAAAGTTGGGCAGTCGTCGTTGCAGTAGTAGGGTGATCGGTGGCGGTTGTAGTTGCAGTCGAACTCGTGGTCATGGTCGTAGCAGTTGCAGTAGCATTAGCAGTAGCCAGTCGCAATAGTAGCAGCAATAGCAGGAGTAGCAGTCGTGATCGTCGCCGCCTTTTTGGCGCCTAGTAGCCAAGGGAGGGTGGCACCATTCAAGACTTGAGCCTGTGATATGGCGAGAAAATTGCCCATATATATACATATAAATATTATGTATTAATACGAATATTAGTATATATATATATATATATTATACTTAATTAGTGTACTACCAGAAACAGGGGGAGTGTGAAGGGCCCGGGTCGACATGGGTGTTGCTCTCTGCATTGGTGGTGTTGACCATAGAGTCATAGAGATGCTGCTTGCCATGATGATGATGACTCGCTACTGATGGTTGTGATGATGCTGGGGAATATGGGGTACTGCTGTGGTTGGTGATGACGATTGTCATGACGATGGCGGTGATGATGATGTCGACAGGAAAGACAAGCTCGATACTGGCGATGACTGATGATGATCATGATGCTGTTGCAGATGCTGGTGATAGAGAGCCTGTGTACTTTTTGAGAGTTGCACTGTTCTCGCTAGAAGCTGCCCCAGCGCTTGGTATCGCCAAGATCTCGAAGCCTCTTCAGGAATCCTGATCTTCTCCATCATGCAGACTCTGAAATCACTGCTTTGGTCGCTGGTTCTGCTGCCACCTGGTTTGAGCCAAGTCCTGAAGGACTTTCGTCAGACCTAGATTCTTCAGCGGTGCGATCCTGCAAACAAACAGTTCTGCGAAGCGTAGGAATGTCCTGTTCCGCTCTCAGGTTTGTCATCATCTATGCTTTTGCCGTGCCTGGCCTGCGATGGGCATGTTGTTGAGATGCTTAATCAACTGAATGAATTTGAAGGCAACTGCGATGCTGATGCCAAGACCCAGGTATTATTTACAGACGCTGCGGTCACCTATCAGTACATCAATGGGGAGAGGCTTGTACAAAAGTTCCGCATGTTTAGATTTGCTTGTGCTCGCACTTTGTATGCTTCATCTGCTCAGTCTCAAGCTTTGCCTGGGTCATCCAAGGAATGCAGAGCTTTCCCAGATGTTTGGCTCCTTGATTGGCTCGATGAGCACCCTGCTAAGGCCCGATTCCTTGAAATCCGCTAGCGCTGTGATCAGGGAATACTATACTGTACTATACTATACTGTACTACTCTATACTATACGACACGGTGACTGGTCTCCGTGCCACAACCATCAACCCGAGCGGCCGCAGTCGGAGGTCAATCTCTGGCGGCATGAACTGGCAAGGTCCCGCGGATGCCTTGGGCCAAGTGGGAACGGAGCCTTGGCCAATGAATAGTAACAGATGTGCTTTTTGTGCCAGTTTCAAATTGTGGTAGTACTTCTCATAGTCGTATGAATCATCATAGCCGGTTTTTGGAATCACAATCATCCTGTTGCCTTCGCAGACAAGTACATGCTACTTGACTACGTCTGCTGTGACTACTCCTACAACTCCGGTGCATACTCTTTCCGGTTGTTGTCTCTGCTCATACGCCTACAGAGCAACCGACAACGACGACAACAGCAACAGCAACGGGAAGAATAATAGGAACGACAACGACCACGACGATGGCGACGAGGACGAGGACGAAGACGAGGCCAAGGACGAGGACAACGAGAATGACAAGGACGACGGCAACGATGCAATGACTACGACGGCACACGACTACGGCGACGGCGACAGCAACACCAACGATAACAAAAACCACAACAAGAACTACTGCTACTCCTCCTACTACGACTACTACTACTACTACTACTACTACTACTACTGCTTCTACTACTACTACTGCTTCTACTACTACTGCTTCTACTACTACTGCTTCTACTACTACAGCTTCTTCTACTACTACTACTAGGTATACGGTTGGCAGGTGACGCCAGTGTTTTCTTGGTCTGTGTGTGTTATTTTTCGAGTTTTGAGCTNNACCACCACCGCCACCACCACGACTACTACTACGAAGACGACGACGACGGCCACCTTTTTGGTTTCATTTTGCCAGTAATCTTACCTTTGATTTGCTCACCAGTACATATTGGGGGTTTTATTTACTATTGCCGTTTTAGTTGTTGTTTTTCATACTGCTTTTAGTATCATTGCTTGCAGAGTTTTTTGGCAACACGGCGCAACAATCGATTTCCTTGGCGGCCTACATGTGTAGATGCAGTGGATGCTAGGCCCATGTAGGTCAGAATCTTCCGGGCAACAGAAAGCAAACAGTAAACGTTGCGGAACACAACTCAGGCTACTTCAATGGACTTGTGCCATGTGGGTAGTTCTTTAAATTAGGGTCCAATTTTAGGTCCCCAATGTAGTACGGCACCCTCATAAAAAGCCTAATTTAGACAACTACCCATGTGTCTGCAGCCGAGGAGTGGGAAGTGCTGTTTACGCTGTACGTGACATTTAGCTGCTTCGCAGTTCTAAATGCACGGAACTTAGACCGCATGTGCACCTGCCATGTTTGTTCATAAGAGTGTCCGGCTCGCAAACGGACGAGGCATGTGCCTGAATTTGTGCTCCAGCTGATTTCAAGAGGTGAAGTATCCACCAGGTGACCACGTGACCCCGTCCCGTCCTTCCTTTGTTTCGATGGTGCGAGACCCAAATCCCAAAGTACAAGATCTGCGCGCGAACCCGAACCCCTTAAGCCCTAAACCCTACACCCTAAACCCTGACAAGGTGATGACCGGAGTGTTCCTCGGTTGCAGCTCTCGTGGGTTTGAGAACTTGTATCAGGTGATTGTTGCTTTCCTAAGCCTCGCATCTCCAGTGCCATGTGTTTGGGACAGGAGTATGTAGAACCGCCATATCGAACCTTTCAAGAGCAATAGCATGCATCCTTGTCGTGGCAAGTGGTGGCTTCCTTCACGACTGGGCCCACAAGCCAGAAGAGAGCCCCAAACTACCGAGCTCATGATGTCGTTGGTTTTCTTGTCCGCACTGCACCGCGAATGCAAATTCCATAGGTTCTGCCACAGTGCGATCACTGGCGCTGCCCAAGATGAGCATCTGATGGTCCAGTCTCTCCTCCAGGAAAAAGATCAGTTCCGCCAACCGGCTTGGAATTTGGCGTTTCCGTTTGAAGAAAGTTCCCTGGTGGTCGTTCTGCTGTCGTAAGTCTCCTTGTTCAGATCCCGGCACGTGACATTGGGAACCGAGGCCAGAAGTTCGAGCAGCTTTTCCATGAGGTGGGCAAGGGGTCCGAAGACATAGTGGGGTTGTGCTGAGTGTAGGCTAATGCCTGTGTGGGTTCTGTCTGTTCCTTTATCGCGATGCTCCTACTCGAGACTTGACTTCATACCATGCATGATGCATGATGGCTTTATATTCGAGAAGACTGGGAATTTGACGTCTGAGAGCCAGGTGGATGATGATGGCACGGGGCACATCACACTGAACGAGTTCGAGCGTCACTTCAACGACGCCTCGCTGGCAGCACTCTTCGAAGCGCTCGACCTGCCATCGACGGACGCCTGGAGCCTCTTCCAGGAGGGATGCTGAGATCTGTAGCTATATCTGTACCTGTATCTGTATCGAAATCTATGTCTATAAAAGGTATATCGTTCATTGTACGTGTATCTATAACGGTGCCCATGTCTGCATCTGTGTCTGTGTCTGTGTATATCTATGTCTATATCTATATCTTTATCCAGAGCTGTAGCTATAGCTGTAGCCGAAGCTTATAGTATCTGTACCTAGAGCCTATATCTATATCTATGTCACTGCCAGTATCTACACCTATGCCGATGCCTATACCAATACCTTAGTTGTATGGTCCCACCCACCATCTGACAACTCCATGCAGTATGAGATGGTTTGGCTTCGCCACAAAGACGAAAACGGTCGATCCAAGGGGGCTAGCTGTATGGTATCTGTGTCTACGTCCATATCTATATCTCTCTCTGTATCGGATTTGCGTGCGTATCTGTATGTACATGAACATCGGCAGCTGTATCTGTAGCAACATATACATCTACTTTTGAATCCGTACGTACATCTTTATGCACGTCGTCTACATCTGTATCCATATCTATATATATATATATATATATATGTGCTTGTCTCTGTATCCTTGTCTATGTCGATCTCTTTGTCTGTGCCTCCGCCTGCTTTGTGCAAGGGTGGATGCCCACATATATGTCTATGTCTTGCCGCCTATATACACGTGCGGGTGTGTGCGTGCGTGTGTGTGTATCTACATACGGACATAGATCTTCATGACTTGCAGAGGTGCTGCCGCAATGCGATGTTTGGGGCGTTCGGTCTTCCTGGATGAATGGTTAAGTCTAAGTTGCTCCAGCCAGATTGTGTCTCGAATACCGGAACCTGGTGAGCCTGCAGCGAATCGAAGCTCGGATGTCGCGAAGAACTGGGCCGAAAGAATCGCATCTGGCCAACCCGAAAACCAAGCAGGCAGCCCTTCAATGACAACTTGCGGAACGAATCCCCAAGTTGCATCTCAACAGACATCGTCGCAGCCCCTGATGAATGCGGGATCTTAGCCTCGCAGTCCCGGAGCCTGAAAGGTATTGTTACCCAGTTTTCATCTTGAACGTTAGTAGTGGACGCGGTGATTCCGCTGTCACCCTGATTCCAGACCCTGGATGCGGATGGCGACCACATGATCGACGCAGACGAGTTCCTCGAGCCTTGGACGCGAGAACTGGGTAGAAGTGCCGGTGTCGGCACTGCTGTACATAAGCATGGGAGCCGCTGACATGCGAGTATGTCTGGACTGCTGAGGATAGCTGCATCCGCATGCGCGGCCCCCCTCGCTCTGTGGACGTGTGCGCCATTAAGCGACAAGCAAACAAGATTCGGAGGTGGGATCATCAGCCGACTTCACTAGTGGAGACGGATCGCAGAAAACCTCCGCCTAGGCATCATCCTGCTCCCACAACAATTGGTAAGGTTTAGCATCTCGCAGCCGGCGTTTGCGGCAGGCAAGTGATGGACTTGGCAGATGTGATCGAAGACGTGATGGAAGTGCAGGAGGCTCGGGGCAGCTAATATAGGGGCCTTACTAATCAGAATAGGGTTTTGGGGGTTCCTTAGTATAAACTTAGCAAAATGTACCCCCAAACCCTATTCTAATTATTAAGGCCCCTCTACTAACCCGTCTGCATGTGGCTTGGGGGAGAGGCTGGAAGAGTTCTAAGCAAGAAGAGAGGCGGAGGAGGTTTCAAGTAATATAGGGGCCTTATTAATTGGAATAGTTTTTTGGGGGTAGAATATACTATAACTTCTTGTAAGGAACCCCCAAGATAGTATAGGTATTTACTTAGGGCCCTATATTATGCATTGTCTCGATGCACACATAAACGCAGAATGACTTGTGCTACTGCAGATGAGGCAGGCGAAAGTCTAGAGCCAGTCGCCAGAACTTGCAAGAAGTCCACAGAGCCACGCAGATGGAGAAGTGTATCTACCCCGAGACAACTCTCTATCCCAGACGATTCGGATGTTGGATGGATAAAGTTGCCAGAGCCAAACCTTGGCAGGAGATTCATGGCAACCTCCAGAGGACCATCCGGCAGCAAGAAGTGCAAGGAATGCCGGTGCTGTCTTACCAGCAGGTCTAGCTAAGCTGAAGGCCTAGAGTTCCGGCACCTCCCAGAGCCACAGAAGGCCAGAACCCTAATTCCTAAAACCCTAAACTTTAGGGTTTAGGGTTGTAGGGTTTCAGGGTTTAGGGGCCCTAAAGTTTCAGTTCCTGATTCCTCGAGCCTGCTGGGAGAAGCTGCGCCAGTCCCTGTCCAACTTTTGCTGAAGGCTGTAGCCTTCAGGGGTTGCAGATGTACCGGCCAAGAAGATCCGGATCCCTGCCTACAAGCTTATGATTTTTGAACCATTTCCGGGGTTTCCAGGCCCCGAACAGGGCGTGCTCAAGGGAGCTCCTCGCAAGCAAAACTTGTTTGGGTGTTCCAGTTTCCGAGCACTAGTTTTGTCGTGTAGATCGGTGGCTTTTTGGGTTCACTCCCCCACCGCCCAGAGCCCTCGCATTGAATGTTGGAGGTAGCTCTGGGACTGTATAGATGTGTTTCGGATCTTCATCCCAACCATAACCCGGCTAACCGGGTTTCACGGTTGCGGTCAGAAAACTTCGTGGGAAAAGGTGCGAAACCTTGCCACTTGGAGGGCACCTTGGCAGTTGGCTCAGGATTCCACACCCAGCGCGCTGAGCGAAAATCCTTACACCTTATCTAGGGGTGAATATAAAACCGATCGTATATGCTTTCGGGACTGTAGCAGGATTCCCAGTCCCAGCTTTCTGCACAGCAGCCGATCCAAGGCGCAGTGCTTGTCTTTTGCTTTTCGGCCATGGTGTTCAACCCAGCAAAGCAGGCACAGTCAAAAAAGGATCGGGGAGAGTTTCAGTTGGGCCATCGCGTAATTCGAGTGTGAACCGCAGGGCAGAAGATGTCTTATCGCACCTGAACCAAGATACCCCGCCTGGAACCGCCGCAGCCTCTAGCCACGAACCTGCACGGCTCCTTGCAAGGCGTTCTCAGAGCGCTGCTTACTGCAGAGGTGGTGGCTGAAGGTGGCGAGCCTGGATTGGGAAGAAGGAGCGATGCAAGAGTCGGGGGAGGAGCAGTACGTAAATATTTCCCCAGAGATGAGAATGACGGTTACGATGACAGTGATTGCCATGGACACGATCTCTTGCGATTTTCGAGAACCTGATGCTGATGTTGCAAGTACATCAGGCCCTCATACGACATTGTGTGCATCATACTCCAAGTTGCTTTGCACACCGAGCGCACTCGTGATGCAATATAGTGATATGAATTAATAGTTCTGTTACTATATATGTATATATATATATATACATATGTATGATTAAAATATACAAGAGGTGGCCTACGACGGCTCCGAATTCAAGGGCTGGCAAGCGTTGGGCGATCAAGGCGTACTGGCTGCTCCAGATTGAATTTGACAAACTTTTCGGGTTTAGGGGTGTCTGCTGGCTGGGATAGAGCTGCACAAACACAGTGAGTCTTCTGCATGTGAGTGCCGGAGGCGCCCGCACCGTGCATCGAACACTCACTGCTGCTATGATGGCTTCGCATCCCCTTCACAGAGCCCTGGCAAAGAGCCCATTCGACTGTGAACCGAGAACCCTATAAGCCCAAAGTCCGACTCGGAAGCCACGGAGGAGCAGGCACTAGGATTATTATTCTTATCATTATTATGATTATCATTGTCATTAACATTGTTGTTATTTTTACTGTTAATGAAAATTAAGAATACTTAACATATATATTTTTTTATTGGACCGAAGTCACCTGAAGTCCGAGGTCGCCATCGCCAGGCCCCTGTTCTGGTGGGCTGCTCCCGCACCGACCGGGGCGTGCACTCGGAGGCTATTCGTAATATTACCAATAGTCATAGTAATACCGATAATAATCATTATAATACCAATAGTCATAATAATGAGAGTACTACCAATACTAGCTTTCAGCGAGTACCGAAGTCACCCCAAATTAGGCGCGGTCATAGTAATAACAATAACAACAGTACAGCAACAACAGCGGCAACTGCTGCTACTACTACTACTACTACTACTACTGCTACTGCTACTGCTACTGCTACTACTACTACTACTACTACTACTAATGGTAATGATACAGAAAATAAGGATAATGGCCATGAGAACACAGTACTAGAAATTTAGGGTTTTTGAAACCCTAAACCCTAAAATCCCTCAACCCTGAACCCTGCTGCGATCGAACGACGCATTTGCAAGACGGAGACAGGGTCCTACATGTGTGAATGCACGCCTAACCTCTAAGCTCTAAACCCTCAAATCTTGATCCCCTACAAATCCAAAAACCCTGTCAAGCTTACCAGCCCTGAAACCCCAACAACCCCTTTCAGCCATCAGCCTTCTACAACAAAACCGCCGCCCAGTTTTTTCGCGTGTTTGATCAAAGCTCAACCCTAAACCCTAAACCCTCAACCAGGGGCAAGTGGTCCACGCCGACTTACTGAGCCTCCGGGACCTGGATGCGGACACGCTGAGGCGGCTTGGTTCTTTTTGGGTTGGGCTTGAGGTGTCGGATGTTTCGGGTTGAAGGATCCTAAGGTTCAGGGAATTGGGACTCCTACTCGTAGGGTTTAGGGATTCCGAGGGTTCAGGGTTGAGGGTTTCAGGAATTAATGTTCGGCTTGCAGTTTAGGTTCAGGGGTGTTGAGGGTCCAGAGTTCCTTTGTAGGCCTGGGTCCTTGTTGGATACAATTTTACATTTTTGTTATAGGAAAACCCAATAAGGATTAAACATGATCATTTTAATATAGCCCCAACAGGGCACCAGAGGCGCTGACACTGGCATAGACTAAACCCTAAACCCTAAAAGCGACAAGTCTTGCAGTCGGAAAAAGGAGTTGTGTAGCACACTTGTGTGCGAA